ATTGACAACAACATTGCTTCTCAGAGACCTCGAAGATAAAAAAGGGGGTGATGTTAGGGACATAGTCCTTAGAACCTTCTAGAGACAAGTTTCTAGAACTTTCTAGAGACAAGCTTCTAGAACCTTCTAGAAGCAAGTCTTTGGAACCTTCTAGAAGCTTCTTAGTTCATAGAAGATGTTAGGGACATAGTCCTTAGAACCTTCTAGAGATAAGTTTCTAGAACCTTCTAGAAGCAAGTCTCTGGAACCTTCTAGAAGCTTCCTAATTGGTAGAAGTTGCTTGAGAAGCTTCTTAAATAGAAGTATATATTGGGATCGAGGCTAAAGAGTTCTTCAGTCTCGACAACACATCTCTTGGAGCTCTAGCTCACCTCTCTGGTGTTGTTCTCATCTGATTAATCTAGTTCTTGTCAATTCTTCTTGAACTTCTTGTTAGATCTCGAATCTGTATTTCTGTGTCCGTGACACTTTTTAAGCATTTAAAAGACTTGTAAAGACACTAGTGGTAGAAGTCTCACAACAATTGGATGGTCAGATTGAGAATTACAGCTTGCCAAGGCTCGTTGTCTAGGATTAGGGTTTAAAAAAATAAATAAATAAAAATAAAATAAATAACAAATAAAAAATAACAAAAGAATTTGTGCTTAGAATATCCAAAAGCTATTAAAAATAGTGTTCTAAGCACTTTATATTGGGATTAAGCTTTTACATTGAAATCCAAAATAGTTTATGTTTAGATGGTTAAAATCTACTAGACTACTTGGATACTTGTAAAACATCGTTTTATCTTCCACAGCCAGACCTCTGATGGATTCTCAAGCTAGATAGCACGTAATAAGACACCGCTCTTCATAGAACTTGTTCCTAGAAGGAGAGGTAATATTACAAATATATGCATATAAGCTAATAATTATCTATATAAATAAGTAGACGTAAGTAGAAGTAAGTAAAAGTAAGTTAATTCTATAATAACTTCTATAGAAGTTTTTTAGAGGCTTCATAGGCATTGCTTTGACTTTACAGGTGTCTTTAATTGACTTTTCGGGTTAGAAACATGGTCAAGAAGTTGGCCATGTACTACACATGTTATTAGCTTGAAGATCAAGCTAATTATGTAACCTACACGTAGAAAAACTTGCCTTGTAATTCAAGGCATGTGTCCTACAAAGTCAACACATATTGGAGGTCCTATAGAACATCACCACATAGCCCCTAGTTAGATAGTATATATAGAGATAAGAATGAAGTCATCTTCACTCTTGTCAACTCTTTTTTTTGCTTTTAGTCTAATTTCAAGAATCTCAAGTTTTCTTGTCATTTGGTAATAAGCCTTTTCATTTTTTTTTTAATATACGTTGTCGTACTGTAAATACTTACAGTATGTAAAAATTAGTTAAAACATATTATATGTTGACAAATCTAGATGTGTATTAGAGTGGCTAGTAGATTAAATTAAAAAGAGTTGGTATAAGAAACTTTACTTGTTTCTTTATTTCTTTTGATTTTCACATTATATATATATATATATATATATATAGGACCTAAATGTTTAGTATGAAGCCTTGGGAGAAGGTAGAAGCCTAAAGATGAAGATTTAAACTAATAGGAGGTTAATTGGGAGGGATGAAACCAAGGCATGGTTGGATGAAGGTAGAAATAAGGATCTTCATCCCCATTGGTCGAAATCCATGCCCAATGGGCTTTTAGGAGGCTGCCCGCGACCTTGATAAGGGTTTCGGCGACTTCAAAGAGGCCATTAGAAAATCAGAGGCAAGGATTGTAAATTTTAGGGTTTTGGCTACAATTTTTGTACAAATTTTATAGGGTTTGGAGTTAGGGTGAATAAGTTATAGCCGTTTGAAGTTAAGGTGTCAATTTGAGACCTACTGTTACTCTTTTGAGTTTAAGAGGAGTCTTACGGAAGTTTTTGGAGATCAGAAGGTGCGGCTGGAAGGGCAACTTCAAGACATACATCTTTTTTAAAGGAAATTTTGCATTTGGAGTTTATGTGAAGGAGTTATAGGGAGTTAAAGACAATGCATTCAAATCAAAGGCAGTAAGTGAGTGGTTTTATTCAAAGTAGTGTTAGGAGCCATAACTTGAGTTTTCGAACGAAATTTTGGCTCAAACTTTGGGAGAATGTAAAAATTTGTGTTAAAAAGCTATCTATACAAGTTTCGTGGCATTTGGACTTATGGTTTGTGAGATATGAAGAAAATTGCGCGTGGGTATATAAAGATTAGGGTTTGAAGCGACTGTTAGGGTTTTGAAGATATCTCAAGATCTGCAACGAATTTGCAGTTGAAATTTGTTGTAGAGTTTAATAACAACATATCAGTACTTCATGTAAATTTTGATCTTGTTTGGACGGTTGGATCAAGAGTTATGAGGTGTTGAGGTTCGAGAGAATTTCTACACAAGGATATACAAGGTTTTAGAGTACTTCTACCATATTTTGGATGTTGTTGGTTATTTAAGACTTAAGTATTTGGTGTAATTGTCCCAAAAGGAGAACTTATATATATAAAATTAGGATTTCCTTATTTTAAGCTTGATTGAGCAATTAGTGACAGCCAGAAGCCCAGCGCTTTCTTGAGGCAAAACCTCTCTACCCCGACAACGTACTTCCTTATTTCTATTTTGTTACTCTTTCTTTGACATGGATTTCATTGATTCATGTATCATCTTTTAATTCATGTCCTTGATAAAAATTTGTTAAAATTATAAAGCATATAATATTATGGATCCATTGCCTTGTTGTAAAATATGAATCTTCTTGGTTGAAACATAAGTTGTATCATGTTCTCCTTATATGAATCAAAACTCTACTAAAAAAGCCTCCAAATTATCCAATATTGGATCTCGTCATTTAAAAAAAGATGAAAATCACAATAATGCTAAACCTGAAAGAAGTCTATCAATGAATCTAACTTGTGATCCTAGAGTTGGATAGCTTTGGGATTAAAGTTCAATTACAAGTTGTACTTGATTGATAAATCTTTAAAACTTGGATCTTGTACTATCAAACTTCTCAAACAAGATAATTCTTGGTTCTCTACTATCGGAAGGATGTTCCATTATAAGAGAAGAGACATGATTGGGTACAAATATTGAAGTAGCTCCAATCATATCTATATCATCACTTTCTGCTATTCTTTTTGCTTCTTATAGTTATAAACTGAGTTGATGCATTGTAAGCATTAACTCCCTCAATTATTCTTACATTTGTATCATTGCACTTTTCTTTTCAACAAGCTCTACTATAATAATACTTACAAAATAAATATCTAATATTGCTCAAGATAAGCAGAAGAGAGAACTTGAGAACAAAGAAGATACTAAAAACAATATTAGTTTAGAAGAGGGTAATGTGTAACTTCTAATACGCTTATGTCTTATAAAAAAAATAATCTACTCTTAATCAAGAGAAGACAAAATTCTAATATTATAAGTATACTATTGTATATCTGTTAAGAACATGAATTGGAATAAGATGCATAAACCTGAAAAATATGTGTTAAAAGAAAAGTGACAAAATGATAATAAAATATAAATATATTAGAAAAAGAAATTGGAATAGCTATTGCCAAAAGACAAGAAAACTAGAGACTCTTGAATCTAAACTAGAAGCAAAAAAGGAGTTGATAAGAATAAAGAGGACTTCACTCTTGCCTTCATATATATTATCTAACTAAGAGCTACGTGACAATGTCCTATAGGATCTCTAATATGTATTGACTTTGTGAGACACATGCTTTAGCTTACAAGACAAAGTTTCTATGTGTAGGCCATATAGTTAACTTGTTCTTCAAGCTACCATGTGTGACTCATAATCAACTTGTTGATCATGTTTCTAACCTAAAAAATCAATTAAAGACACCTATAAAATCAAAGCAATATCTATGAAGCTTCTAGGAAGCTGCTATAGAAGATATTATGGAATTAACCTATTTTTACTTATTTTTATCTAAAACATATAGGTAATTATTGATTTACATATATATGTCAGTGATAGTACCTCATCCAAAGCTCCAAAATTTATTTTTTTTTCCTTCCATTATTAAAATAATAACTTACATTAATTGTAAGTTGTTGTCTATTACTAGAGTTGGGATAGAGATTAGAAATAGAGGGAGCAAGGTTGAAAACAAACAAGTTTAGAATGAAAGTTGGAAATGAAGGAAGTGGGGCTAGGAACAAGGATGATATGGATGATTGTAATGATGGTTACTATAGAAGTAAGTTGCTTTAGTAAAAATTTGGATCACTTTATCATTCCCCTAAATATCATTCCAATGATCATTTCTTCTAAGTTCATCAGTTTCTAGTGCAATTGCTTCAAAATAACCAAATGAATAAAATCAAATAATTGTAAATTACCTCAGAAGCCCTGATTATCTACTCTGGGTACTTTGGTTTGTACTATTTCTGACACAAGTTCCATTTCTCCGGTGGTTACAGTATGATTAGTAACTGACCAGACTGGATTAGCGAAAGCAAAGGGAGTGAGTTTAGAGGTGGGATTAAGCTGAGAGGAGGATTAATAAGGGGAGGATTAGCCAGAGTGGAAGCTCCGAGCGACGGAGGGCAGGCGCCGCAGGCAGCGAGAGATAGAGAGAAGAATGGGAAGAGATGAGCGTCGGATTATGCAGACGAGTGTGTGTGCTTCGATGGCGGCGCATGAGTCAACGAGATTTCAGGCCCCACAATGGCAATCTCATCGTGTCGTGTTCCCACTGCCATGTGCTTCTTCCCATTCGCAGCTTGCCGCAGCAGCCTTTCGCAGCCGGATCTGTCAGTCAGTTTTTTATATTTGCGGCTCATTAATGAGCTGCTCCCAACACGAGACATGCGCGACCTCCAACCCCTCCTCACCTGCAGCAGCATTCCTGCACGGAACCGAGACTGTGTGGCCTTCGACCTCGAAGAAGTAGATCGACATGCACGCCAATTTATTGATCTCTCGTTCCGGCGATCGATCGATGGATTGGTGCTGTTCAGCTTGTCAGGGGTGGTGTGGACCTGTCTGTCTAGCCTCTGGCGAGAGGTCCTCGTGACTTGTCAGACCTACGCATATGTGCATGTGTTCGCAGATCAGATAATCAATTCAATCAGAGTTGAGGTGATTGTCATAGTGACAGTGCAGTATGTGGAGTCTTGTGCTTGGAAGTTGCAGACTCTGAAGAACGAGTTGCTATCGAGTTCTTCTGATTTTGAATGCTACTGAAACGCTCCATCTTCTCTCCTTTTTTTCTTTTTTTTTTTCCTTTTTTTTTTACTTCAAGGAATTGGGCGGTGCGTGTCGGAATCGGGACTTCACTTTGTAAGGGTCAGTAAAATAGATGGTTGAAGGAGAAAGGCAACTTTGCTACTTAACTTGAAACTTTTGGTTGTAACGACTGGTATGTGGGAGTGTTGCATTGATCACACGGAGTGATCGAGGGGTTTGTTTCCGGATAAGGAAGGAGTTGCAGTCATGGGGAGAGCACCAGGTAACGGTGATGAGAAGGAGGGGACGCTTCGGAAAGGACCATGGACTACAGATGAAGACCGAAAATTAGTGGCGTATATTCAAGAGCATGGACACGGCAGTTGGCGTGTTCTTCCCAAAAATGCAGGTCGTCCTGGACCGCCTATGGACCTCCCTTCCATTAATTGCAAAAAAACTACTGGATTCGGAAATTTTAGTTGATGATGGTTGGATGGCTCAAACTGAATGTGCGTCCGTGTTTGGTATACTTGTAGGTCTGACAAGATGCGGCAAGAGCTGTAGATTGAGATGGACGAACTATTTGCGGCCAGATATCAAGCGTGGCCGATTCTCCGAAGCCGAAGACCAGACGATTGTCCACCTTCACTCGGTGCTTGGAAATAGGTTCGCACGGTCCCATTCCAGTGCATCGCAAGCGCATACTGCTGCTTTAACTGTGTGAGAAAGTGACTCAAGGACACTGTCTCAGCGTTTCTGTTTTCTGTCCTGCCATGCAGATGGTCGACCATAGCAGCGCATCTGCCCGGACGGACTGACAACGAGATTAAAAACTACTGGAATACACACGTGAAGAAGCGTCTTCTGCAATTGGGAATCGATCCCTTGACACACACAGCCCGCATCGCAACAGATCTTGTGCATGAAGGCGCAGACATGAAGCGATCGGTCTCATCAAATCTTTGCCACATATCGCAATGGGATGTTGTCCGCATGGAGACCGAGACCAGACTGTTTAGCACCACCTCCCTTAACAATCAAACTGCAGTGGGTGATATAGACCGCCCACCATCATCGCTCTATGATCCCGGAGAGGCCCTGCAACAGGCCCCCCCAAGGCATGCAACATCGAGCTCATGGAAATCTTCAGTCGCTACACACAGCGCAAGGCCAGCTTTAGGCGATTCAAATGAAGCTGCGTATTCAGATCTTCAGAACGTGTTCCGAGGGAAGGAGTCTTCCTCCCATTCCTCTGCATCCCCTGGGAATCTTTATGGCACCTGCGAAGATATACCCGCTAAGTCGAGGTCAACATCGAATCATGGAAGTAGCCTTGACAACTACCACAGCTCCGTCTCCAGCACAATTATCAGCTCCAAGTTTCTCAATCCCATGTCGCCCACTTCCGTGCTGTGTCCTAGGTCGAACTCTGCCGGTGTTCTCTGGGATATCAACCTGTGTTCGTCTTTCTGGCAGACGCAGGCCGCACAGCTGCCCATGAAAGCCGACGCTCAGTCATTTCGGGAGACATCCAGTAATTATGAACAAGGTCAGCTACTTCATGAGCCACATCTTGAGGTCGGCTATGACGATTCATCAGAACTTGAATCGACTTTGAGATATCTTCTTCTGGAAAATTCTCACAACTTCAATAATCTCGTAGACTTTGCACATTCTTCATCACAAACCAGCTGTAAACCTTCTGCAGTTTGTAATCTAAGAGCGGCGCCACAATACATTGATGTCCATGTTTTAGATAGTAATTAATCAATCATAACAGTCTCCAGAACTAGAGAAGTTGAGGATATTGAAATTTCTACGCTCTACAACCTTCAAGATGGACATTAAGTCACATTAGTATGGGTAGTAGATCGTGTAAGAACACACTTTTATTAAAAGATTGTGTGTATTCATGCCATCGAGTCTCGTGTAGCTCGGATGTTTGTGAGAATTTGATGAACTTTCGTGCTTCTTTACTGCACTGTGTATCATTGTTTTTGAATCCGTAAAATGAGCTGTAATTATCAAGCTGCCATTTTATATCAGGGCTAAACGTTTTGTGACATGTACCTGTAACGTTCCTGCGATGGTAATAGGGATTTCTGATGACTACCAGTTATCACCGGACTTCATCTAGGTCTTGATTAACCAACACTTGGTTCTGTTTCACACAGATTTCAGATGTTAAATAGAGAGCATTTCAATGAATGAGATCATAAGCAGAGGCATCATATAGCTTCGAGAGTCTATTGATCAGGGAACTTAGCCGTTTGAAGTAGATAACAGAACGTGCACGATGAAAATTTTGTGACAAGGTCTGCAAAATTTGGAGCTAAACATGTCCAGACAAATTAGAGATTGGTAATGATTTAATATCTCTTTCCTCCGCAGTGCTTTTCCTGGGTTGACATCAAGACCAAGAACAGGGAGCAACACCTTCTTCAAGAGCAGTCACATGTTTCCTTGGAACAATTAACCCGCTCCCCAAGCTCATTAAGGCAACAGTAATGTGGAATGTGAAAGACAAACTGCGAAATGACAAGAGCTTGAGACGGCATCCATTGAATGTCATGGGTATCAAATGAACAACAGCCTGGAGCGCTTTCAGGATAGCCTTGCAGACCGCATGAACATGGACATTTTAAGACAGGTTTCTGAGGTCCTGCACCGTGAAGGCAGAATGAGAATAATTCAGGCTTAGCTCATGTTAATACCAGAAGAAATAGTGAAAGCGGGAAAAGCGAGCTTGCTCAAGGGAGATACTTACAGTTCATTAGATCTGCGGGAATGGGATGACCAATAACTAGAGAAATGCTACTCGCAGCATGTAATTCCAATTTTTCAGTCCTGCGTGCCGTTCTATTAGTCCCCAATTTATGATGCATAGTTAATAATAGTGTACCAGTCTTGACTCTTGCCAAACGGCAAGTCTAGAATGAACTAGGTAGTATTGAATTGCTTGAGAGAGGACAAATTGTTCAAATGCTGGCAGTAACTCCAGCAGGGAACCGAACAGTGGAGACAAAAAAAAGTCACAAATGATAATCTCAATGAGGAGTTCAGACGAATTGGTAACTGCGGATAGATTCATTCGTAACGCATTTCTCAGAGAACCTGAGGTATGAACTGCAGCTCTACCTATCGCCAGGCAGCACAGCCTGTCTTTGGCCAGAGCTTCAAAATATCGATGGTGACTGCACTCATGCGCACTATATCAGCAGTGTTCCTGCACGAGGGGGAAGAATTTTAATTTTGACCCTGAAGTGCTGCATCGGTGTCAGTGAGACAGAGCTGATTCCAGCCGCAGTAAACCGACCTAATGTCAGAAGCTTCAATTGGGAGGCTAGCCTTGGGACAAAGCATCTGGTCATTTCATGACAATGCCTAGAACTTATCACGGTGATTCTAGTGAAATTATAACTTTCCTTCAGAACTGGTCTTCGTTGCTGTGCATAATCAGGAATCATTAGGTTGCTTTGACTAAGTGATCTTTGGTGTAAGGTGAACCTCGATACCCCTTTAATATCCTGCCTATCCTAGGGTATGCACCGCTTACATAGTTAGATTGAGTCGAAAACGCACTTTTAGATTTCTTTATTAGTTTCGAATTGATTAGGGGAAGAGTGGACCCCAGTATACTGCTGGAAGTTTACCATTATAAGAATAGTGATCCGCGGGGGCACCGAATGGCTTCTGCTTGGCTGTAAGCACATCATTCCGATGACTACTATCAGCACCCCAAGAGTGTACAGAGAAGCATCTGGAACGTACGAGCAAAATCCATGAATTAGGCCTAAAAGTGAGAAACTTTATCCCCTTAACCAGTGGGCATAATACCGAATGCTCGGACCGTAGGCGCAATATCTACAGAGAGAAGACACGTCATGTTCACATAATCTAACAAGAAACAAATTAATCCTGCCTTGCTCGACATGGCGGAGAACCTACGCCACTGAACTGGTTTTGAATGTCAACAATGAACTATTTCCATCTGCCGCTACTCATCTGGAGCCTTACAATGGAAATGACAGCGCGACTCTTCGCAAAGTTTAAATATCCCTGGAGTTTTAATTCAACCTAGCACTTAACGAAGATTATCATGTGTTGCATTATGCAGTCGACAGGGAAGGAGAAATGAGTACATTTGCAGAGGACAGATTCTTCTGATCCTGTACTGATGAATGTTATACGAGCTAATTCACAAACTGCATCTGTGGGCAATTCTCTACTCTAAATGATTGGATAAAGCAACAACTACCAGAAGATAGAACTGCGTTTGACTTCTTGATGAGGAGTGTAATTCATTCGAATCTTATTTCAGATATCGATTGAAATCCTTCACAGCGCCCCGCGAAAATCCGGGCATAGGTGTTCTATTGCGAAGGAATTGATCATTAATCATAACGTCAGTTGCAGAATGAGGTCGACCGTAATTGTCTGACATGATCAGAGACGATTTTGTCGTCCCTTTCCAAATCTGCTTCTGAATTCGCGCTTGTAGAGAGTAACAAGTGGCAGGCGAGAGTATTGTGCGGCGAAGGAAAGAGCCTAAACAAAACTGACGGAAAAGCAACAGTCACATGGAAGTGTAGAGTTGCAGGGAGCTGACAAGAAGATTGTTGAATGTGCACTAAATATGCATTGTGGTGTATGACTGATACGTCCCTTTGCTGTGCAAAATAGAGAGATATTGCAGAGTTGGGAAAATATCACCATAAAGATTAGTTTCAGTACTCCTTTACATGAGACAGAGACACAGGAGAGATTAGTTTGTTTTAAAAAGAGGTGAAGATTCTTCAAAAAAAATGGTCATGAATGATACAAATGCCAGGCACTCCGGATGCGGGAGTGTCGATCAAAAAATTGGTAAAAAAACACAAAAAATACAAAAAATAAAAAAATAAAAAAAAATAAAAAACACACAAAACACAAAACAACAACAACAACAACAACAACAATTCTGCCATCTAGTGATATTATCTCAACTATCTACAAAACTTGGGCACATGCGGCGCACTCGCCTGACGCAGCTCTCGAACTCCCTCTATAAACAGAGGGTCCTTCAAGTTCCAAACGCATAGACCGAATTGGCATGGCCAATGTCGCCTCCGTCATTCACCATTGTGATTTCCGTCTCCTCAAGGGGACGCGGTAGAAATCAAAGGAAAAATAAAATAAATAAAAATAAAAACGAAAAACGAAAAACATGTGCAAATTCGCTATACTAGTACATCGAGACCGACGAAAATATGCAACAAAGATGCTCTCAACACAAATAATCAAACTGTGGAATGGGGATGTTGTTCGGCACTCCAACTTGGTTCACCATGGAGTTCACGCTCAGGTTGAAACTGTGGGATGGGGGTTTCTGAGCGATGTTCACTCCAAGCTCGTGCGTGAAGTAAGACTCGGGCTGAAGTGCGTCCACCAAAGCCACTTGCTGCTGAGTCCAAAAAGACGGTTCCTGAGAAAAGTTCATTGCCAGGGTTGCTCTGGAGTGTTGGTGGTTGTCATTGTGGACCAAAGAGAAGCTCTGCGCCAGAATGTCGACACTGTCATAAGCACTGCTACTGCTGCCACAAGGACTGGAGTAAGAAGAATCGTGGCCGCTGGGGCCGTGAAGAATACTCGTTGGGGAATACTGGTGTTCGTTATCCACCTTGCACAGGCCCGAAAAACTAAAGCTGGATTCTGTCGCGGACGGGGATTGGGCAGGAAAAATGTTTGAACCTGCAAGGTCGATTCGGGGGAGCGGTAGAAGCGAGTCACAATGTCGAGAAGCCATAAGCCGCTCGGAAATTTGAGCTGGTGATGGCAATATCATGGAAGAAACTGGCATGCGGTAGGAGGCCGAGGAGACGTCGGGGCTGTATTGAGTGGATACTAATTCAGACGCGGTGCCGGAACTCAGTGAAGGGATATTAGTGATAGAGTCGTGAATTGAAGGACCTTCCATTTCTGGCTGGGGGGCTTTTAGTGAGGATTCCCACTCTTGTAAAAACTTTTGAAGATTGACTGGGCTAGCGGGTGGTTTGTCGAGCTCCACAACGCCAAAGTTAGGTCTCAGTGTCTCAGTGACCTGAGCCTTCCAGGAGCTCATGAAGTTGGAGGATGCGACTTGATTGTTGACATCATTCTTGGTGCTCAGGTTAGATTTCTGGTGCTCTAGAGAAGTCTGTGCTAAGTCTGAAGCAGGAGATGTAAGAGATGATTGCCGTGAAAGCCTGGCTTCCGCTTCTGCGCGGGCACTGTCCCATTGCGACATGTGGGTGAGATTTGTTGAAACCACGGGCCGCAGCCCGGGGATGATGCTGTAATGCACGAGCTCCTCCGCTGCCGTGGACTTGTGTGTTACAGGGTCAATTCCCATTTGCATGAGACGCTTCTTCAAGTGTGTGTTCCAGTAGTTCTTGATCTCGTTGTCAGTGCGGCGAGGAAGATGGCTAGCTATGGCAGACCATCTGCGAATCAACAACAACACATTCCAAAAAATCAATTTTTCTGTGCTCCACGCACTCGCACACACACACAAAAAAACACAAAAAAACAAAACAAAACAAAACACACAATGTTGAATTCTAAGATCTGAATCCTCAGGAGAATCCTGTGTTCAAAGAGGCGTGTAATGCTGCCCGAGGCTGTAGAAGCATAATAAGATGACGATAGGAGAGCAGCGAGAGCAACGGTACCTGTTGCCTAGAATTGCATGGAGATGGACAATCATCTGATCTTCCTCATGCGAGAATCTGCCCCTCTTGATATCAGGCCTAAGGTAGTTCGTCCACCTCAACCTGCAGCTCTTGCCACAACGTTGGAGACCTGCATTGATCGGGAGAGAGCGCCAGCTGCCATGACCGTGCTGTTGAATATAAGCCACAAGCTTTTGATCTTCATCGGGTGTCCACGGTCCTTTCTTCAACACCTCTTTCTCGATGTCGCCGAGTGGAGCCCTGGTCATTGTTATAGATGATCCGTTCCTGCTAGTACACCAAGCACTAGACTTCTCCCTCGCCCCTCCCCAGAGGGAGATCGCGAATTATACTTGGTAGTGCTAAGTGCACTATATGCAATGTTGGATACCAAAGAGATGCAGATTTTCGACTGCAAAGTTGTATATCTACTTGTACGTGATCACGTTGAGTTCCTTTCGAATGATGACAGCTGAAGACCGAAATGGAATCAGAAAGTGCTCACAAAGAACTAGACACGTAAACTTACCTATCCACTCTAGCTCCGGCCAGGTCAACTTATTAAAATGGTTAGCTCACACTAGTGTAGCAGTGACGCACAAAGTGGAGATAGGTAGTGCACTCTGGTGAGGTGTGCACTCTGGTGCTGATCTGTCTAGTGCGCGTATTAGTTTGGTCGGCTAGAAGCTTACAAACAGATTCTGCAAGAGAAGTGTGGAGTGGGTAGAAATCGAGGGACGAAGTGAAGCCCACCCCAAGATAAGTGTGTCGACAGCAATTCAGGGGCCAAGAGCTCCAAGAATCCAACGAGCCTCCGGTGCTTACGATGCATTAACGCGATCCGAGGTCAACTCCTGGAGCACGAGGCCATGCAACAGCGAGAGTCAATCGGGGCCGTGGATGATCTGACACTCTCATCAAGTGCGCGCGCATTGTAGGGAGACCTCAGCTCCCTCGCATTCTACTGGTTCCTAGTGCATCATCCCAGTAACTTATCTCGGCCAGAATCCGGAATGCCGCGACGACCTTTATGCAGCCCCATTGTTTGCATCCTGCAAACCACCGCAGTTTTCGTGAGGGCTGCACATGCTGCTACTCTGCTGTTCGCCAGCAAAACTCCAAACGACTTCGGCTCCCAGGTGCCGATCCGTTACATGGCAGCGTTAACTAAGCCCATCAGGATTGAGCTGCATTCAATGCTGCGAAAAGTACATCCCAGCAGATCCCTGGCACAACGCTACAAGTTGAGTCATCGCGTCAGTCGTACGATATCCCGCTGCGAGAGCTTCGAAGTTTCGGGTGGTCTCCGAGACTTTGCGGGGTCCTTCACGCGGTATCCACAACAGCTAAACCCCCACCCCACCTCCCCCCCTAACATATCTTTTCCTATCCTGCAGTTCCTGTGCTGCTTGCTTTTACTGCAGTTTCACCCACATTCTCAGCCCCTCTGACTTCACTCACTCTCTCTCTCTCCATGTGTTAGTCCCACTTGTCCACCGCTGATTAGGCCCTACACACTATCAACGTGGCAGCTGAGAATATCACCGAATGGATCAAAGCTCTCACATAAACACAAAAATTGCACATTCTGGTGACGGGATGAGCTTGTCTTGAACTCTTCATTGTCTTCATGTGACGAGCATATTCCAAATCTTTGAGCATAGATCACTGGGTTGTGTTATCTTAGGTTTAGCGAGTGGCTCACACAAGGTCATTTGTGAAATGGAGTGTTGTGATGACTGAAGTATGAGAAACTTGCCTATGTGTCTTTACTCTTGCCGAGGAAATGTTTTGTAAGTTTTTTTTAGAGAAATGTGGAGAACTAATGCATTGATTTAGAGAAAAGATCAACATAGAGTGAATAGATGTTTTTTTTAAACCAAAAAGGAACATAAAGTATCAGTGATTTAATAAGTTGAAAAGAAACATCAATCTATGTGTTTATTTTATACCCTCTCCTTTTCAAGATATATTTTATTTTATTTTAGAATAGCAATAAAAGATCGACGTATTGTTTTAACCTTAAGGAAGAAAGTCATTACAGAAATTTTTGATTTTTTATTTTATTGTCTTCAAAATTGTGAAGCATGCTTTATAGAAAGATGGATAGATGTTATAATTGACAAAGAAATGAGGAATATACAAAATGATGAGGTTTGGAAATATGAAAATTATAAAATATGAAATATATAATGAATCAAAGGAAAATAAATATTATGTTAATATCTATAAATATTTTTTACAATTTTAATAATATTTTTGTAAATATTTTAAGTATAGTACTATAAAATATTTATTTAAAATATTTAACTCACAGTGAGATTATTTTCAGTCAAAATTTGTCAGATTTTATCATTTTTGAAACAACTTAAAAACACTAATTGTTTTGAGAAATGAATCTCTAAGATAATTAGATATTAATTATATACTAGTTTTATGTTTTATACATGATGGATTCTTTCTAAAGTGATTTGAGATGTGATTTTTAAACTTAGTTATAAATTAAATAGAATAGAAGTCACTAGCATCAAAGACATCCTTTTACTATGTTGGTACAAAGTTGTAGATGCTAGATTTCAACCCCTATAATATTATAAGTATAGAAGTATTTTTAATTCTATTACAGATACAACTCCATCATGTGTCTTTTAAATTTGAAATTGGTCTCTTCTACTAGTAGTAGATTCTATAATGATGTTCTTAAAATAATAGTTATAGATTCTTATTAGATTGGTTATAAATAATATTTTGTACATTAGAATAAATAAATAAATAAATAATATTAATTAGACTAAAGACAAAATATTTATATCTTAAATTTTAACTCTTTTTTTTTTTGGAGGTTTTGTTTGTGTGTTTTCTTTAACAAAATTTAAACAAGATAAAAAAGATACTTATAAACATGTTTATAGGCTTGTAAAATATCTGTAATCTTATCAACTAAAGTATAAAAAAATAGTAAAAACTTAATTGTCTTATATTGCAAAACTTTGCAAAAAAAGCCAATCAACTTAACATATAAAGGATAAATTTTTTATGGTATTTTTATTTCTAATTATAATTTTAATTAGTCAAGCATTTGGTTTAAAAGTGTAGCTATATTAAAATAATTTTGAGATAAATATTATTTATTATTTAATTTATAATAAATTAATCATGCTTATTGAAAATTAAGGATATATATATATATATATATAATAAAATAAACATATTGTTTTATTTATTAAAAAATTTAAAATAATTTGGTTCTAATTTGATATATTTATTTTTTTGCTAATCATTTTAATACAGTGCAATATAAATGCCATTAATAGAAAAATATAGATTTATAAAAATACATGAAAATTCTTACATTTTAGTAACTTTGATTTTATAATGATAAAATTATATAAGATTATATCTCAAAAAAATCATTAAATAATTGAATGCATATTTAAATCTTCTTAATACTATAACATAATGTAGATGGCTATTGGTATTATTAGAATAAGAAAAAAATATGTCGATTGGACAAGATATTATAATTTCTTTAAATATAGTAGTACTTTAGAGTTTCTTATTATATAAAGAAATAATTTATAAGTATGTAAATCTTATTTAAATGCTTGTTGTTTGCTTGATTATAAAGTGTTGATATATATATATATATATATATATGTATATTTATAGAATCAATCTTTTTCTTTATAAAAAATTATATAAATATGTAATTTTATATAATTATAAATATAATTAATTTTATATATATTATTATTTGTTTAAATTTAAAATTTAAAATTTATTAAAATATTTAATTTTGAAAGATTTGGTTAATAAATAACATCAAAATCTTGGATTTATTTTAGATTGTCTATGATAGATATAATGTTTACATGGCATATTTATTTTTATATTTAGGATGTTGCTATTGTCACAACATTTTTTTCAATAGAATCCACAACTTGCCACCCACTTGATATATTTATTTATTTATTTATATGTTTATTTATTCCAAACAAAAAAATTGCTAATACTTTTTAATATGTTTTTTTTATTTTTTAAAGTATATAAAATTTTATTTATTTATTTTTAAATAATTAATTTATTATTCGAAATAAGTTGTAATGGCAATAGCAAATACTACGGTGGCATTAGCAACAGTTTTACTAATTTTACTTAAATTAACCCATATTTGCTAAAATGTATAGGATTTGATATAGAGCAAGTACATACATATGTAATTGAGGTTTTACTCTCTTTCTTTTTGGTTTATACAAGTAACTATGTTTTTTGTGAAATCAATGCAGTTTGAATGCATGTTCTAAACCTTGTGACAATGGGGACCTCTCACTTCTCAAGAATAAAATTCTAAACAAAAATAGATCTTTCAGTGATGAAGCAGCTTGTCTTTTTGAGACACAGCAGAAGACATTTCCTGACACAAATGAGAGCTATTGTCCAACCACGCCCTCCAGTTGTCAGTGTGGTGCACAACGTTCCCAACATGAGATCTCAATTGAAAGATCCATATATTTCATAGGATTTATTTTTATTTTTATTTGTTTCCCTCCTTAAACACATTTCTACTGTGAAATAGATATTCTACGGAGTTCTTTTGACTCTGGAGCCCATAGCCCAAGCACCAACTCCAACCCTGACACAAGTCGTTTTTTTTCACAAAACGTAAGGCTTCCTCGGTATTCTCCAGGTTTCACGACTCCCAATGCTAAAAGGAATTCAAAGTTTTCGAAAGGCATGAAAAATCTACACCCCCTATGTTGTGTATGTTAGGCTTTTTTGTGACGTGCTGCAAATAGTAGGAGATAGTATTATTGGAGGAGGAATGGAGGGGGGTTCATGGCTGGAATCTGGCTTGCAAGGACTCTGAAGAGACCACATGAAAAAACAGAAGAGAGGGTGCACACCATGAGGTCCAATTGAGAGGCAAACATTTGAATTTTGTGTTAAGTATAAACACTAATAAATAACAACAGTAATTTCATGAGATGTTACCTCTGATCATGGGATGTAACTTTGAATATTTATGATTGGTTGTGATGTTATCTCAAGATTTGATAATAATATGATGTTGGAGTGTTATGGGTTTAGTTCAAATCAAGGTTGATATGTGACACATACAAAGGCAAAAAAAACAAAAAACAAAAAACAACAACAGCAACAACAAGCTTCTTTTAGGTCATTAAGGACCAAGAGTCCAAAGGTTGATTGTGTATGTATATATATATATATAGATGGATAGAGGGTGTTTCTAATGTAAATATAGATTTTGTTATTGCCACCATATGTTGTCCTAAATTTGTGTTGTGCATCACAATATATTCTATGGAACACTAAAATACACATCCATATAGAATGTGCACTTCACCCATTCCAGTGTACATTAGCAATATTCCATAAAAACTATAACAACATGACAAACGACAAGTTGTGGTGGCAGTAGCAAAAATTTGTGAGTTTATGTCAAATAATGTTGGGATTTTACATTCAAGATTCAATTTAGGTTGAAGCTTTGACAATGGATGTTGAAGCAAATAATGGAATTCCACATTCATTCAGCATTGAACTTACCTTATCATTATCATAAACGAAGTTCCACAGTACAAAGATGTTAAGATGCTCAATCTTCTAGAATAAGATCAATTTGATTGGAAAAAGTTTAGTTTGAAAGGTGTTGGGGTTTGGAATTCATGTCTTATTCTTTCTTCTTTTCCAATTTATTTTATTTTTTGTTTGTATATGTTTGCATGTGTGTGTACACAAACACACATACACACTTTTAAGCTTTGAAGCTCTTTTATGTCTATTTGACCACCAAATTATTGGACCACACATAGAAGCCAGTTCCTTTACAAAAAGGTCTAATAATTTCAACAACACAGAATTTTCCCCCCATCCACAACTCACATCCTTTAAATGTGTCCAAGAATTTAAGTTGGTGTCATTTTTTTTCCAAAATCCACCACAAGGGAGTGCCTCTCTAACACTCCAAACCCTCCAAACCCTAAGTGTGTATGCTTTTTTCACACTTTATTGTGCTTCATCCTTGTCTATTTTTGTATCAATTTAAAGCACTTTTGAAACCCATGACAAGGTTGACTTACAATTATATGTTAATTTGGATCTTTTCTCACCATCCCAGTTGCCTGCTCATTCACTTCTTTGAGGTAAGCAATCTTGTGGTGATTGAACCTGTGCCCACTAAAAGTAATGCAACAAACTCAAAAGATGCCGAGGATCTTTGCGTCCATGGGTTCCAACTGGACGTTCTACATGGATGTTCTGTATAGCAAGTTGCCAACTGACCACAAACCAAACATCAGTTTACTCATTAGAGATAATTATTCTCTAAGTAAAACTTTAAAAAGTAGGGTTTAATTTTAGACATATTATTGCTTGTTCTTAATTTGGCTTCTCCAGCTAGTCTTTCAGCATCAAAATTATTTCTTTTGAAAAGTATGAACTATTCACCAACAGTGTTTGTTTAATGTTGTGAATTTTTAAATAAGTTTTTGAAGATTTCTGGGTACAGATACAGTAAAAGAACTTTTGAGATCATGACCTTTTGAGAGTGGATGCATTGCATGGAACTAAGAGTGAAGAAGGAATGATTTTCCTGTGGGTTACTTATTCATCAATGCCTTTGCTTCCTTTCTAAGTATTAAACTACTCCCAAACCCTGAAAACTTTTCATAGAAAAATCAGATTCCTTCACATAACACCCCCTAGGAAGGTGGAGGTTTCCTTATAAAAAACACTCCATCAACAAATAAAATATATAATAATGAAGCTCAATTTCTGTTATTTAATTGATTACAAAAAAGGAAAAGAAAACAAATAAACGGACCCAAACAAATCCATATATATATATATATATATATATATATATATATAATTTTTGTACATTATTGGCCATCTTCCTCAATTTCCTAACATTGAAGTTTCAGTTTTTAATACTATGAAGTCAACTTATAGTTGTATATTTTGTGTATTGAAGACAAAGATGTTGCACAAGCCTTGTTGGCAAAAGTGTTGGCACCTTATGTAGTGTTAGGTCTCATAAATTTGTGGATGTATTTGATACAAATTGGCTGATTTGGATCCATCCAAAAGTTCTCATGATAAAGAACTCATGCTTCAGCCCATGCAATAAAGAAAATAAACTCTAAACCCTAAATCCATTGTTTGATTATTTAACTATTCATTCATTTATTGAAAAGAATGTAATGCTTTACATGCTTTGCCCATTCTATTTATACTGTTCAAAGCTATCCGCAATGTGACATCCATGCTTGGCTCCTTCTCAAATTTGATGTTCCTCATTGTTTGTTCTCCTCAATAACATCCACAAACTCATACAATTTGCTTTTTTTTTTTGTTTGTCTCTCCTCACAAACATCCACAAACTCATTCAAGTTGCTTTCTTTTCTGTTTGACATGGTTCTTTGACCAAAGGTCCCAACCAGAGCAATAATTGAGTGTGGCCATTGATTCACAGTGTAAACAGGCCTTAAATAACACCACATAAATGACCCTTTCAAGATTGATTAAAATTACACCCAACAGCTTGTTTTTAAATGTAACCTTTGATCAGAACCTTCCGTAAAAAGTTTCCATCAAGTTTTTGAAACCCACCTTTTGTTCAAGACACTCACATCTTTAGTAGAAATGTTCTGGAAGCTGGTCTCATATTCCATCTGAGAAGGCGTAAAACCACAGCAACTGTTTAAAAATTTTCTGTTCCTTTTTAAATCTTTCGAACTATATTTTCATAAATAAAAATTAGCAGTGGCAGCAGCATGGACAGTACAAGGAGCGAAAGTTCGAAAAGCATCCACACAAAGTATTAGTAAAAACTCACATGCAATGCACTGGGTTCTGACTTCTTTTTTTAGTTTATTTTATTTTTGATTCTTTTCACGTCGGCTATTTATTATAGTGGCGTCATTACATGATTGCATCATTCAACACATTCTGCGACTTTGCAGCAGATATGGCGTAGTTTTTGTGTCGACGCAGATGATTGCTTTATTTTCACTTTGAGCTCACAATGATCGGTGATTTTAGCTTCAAATTCTACCTCTGAAGCTGAAGATTGGTGGCGTTGCCAAGTCTCCATGACCGCAGAGATTCTTCCACATTGGTTGCGGTGCTGAGCCACCGAAATTTCCTTGAGTGGAGGCATTTAACCCCATCGTTTTGGCTTCATCGAATAGCAGCAAATTCATGTGTTGTGAAGGTTGTTAACCGAATTTCAAGTTAGCAGAAGACTTATCAATGGTGGTTTTTCTGTTTTGCTTCGTGGTTGGGGACAGGTTGCGATGGCCACTTCCATGGCTACCAGTCACTGCCGCACGAATCTTCCTCTTTCCAGTTCCGACTCTTTTTTCAATGCCACGGAACAAAAAAGAAACTCCTCTCCCCCTATTTGGTGTTTGTCTAAAACAGGTGACATAGAAGACGTAAATGTGGAGTTAGATGCTCATAATTAAGATTCCTGGGAGCTAAGAGTCTTGAGTTCATCACTACTTCGCGACAACAGATAAATTAATACGTCAGACAGCACCGAGAACAAAAAAATGTGAGCCACGGAAGAAATCTCCTTATCACATCAACAAAGAAAAAGTAAAATTGATTTTTTTGAGGAAGGTTAGAAGGCATGTCTTTAGACAGAATTTCAGAAAGAAGAAATGGTTGCGCATGCACCACATCGGTTGAATATGAGTTGATTACAGAGAAGAACCCCGACACTTGAAACTATGAGATTCATCCTGTAGAGTGTATCTAGTTCACAACATTGAATGTAATATTACAACCACATTCTTATCGAATTGGTCCTCTGTACCTATTAACAGCCGGGACTGATGCCCAATGGGCGCTTACAGTGTCCTAGCGGTGGTGGACGAAGAAATTTATAGCCACAAAAGCAATCACAATGTCCCATTGCTGCCAACAACTGCGATTCTCAAGCGTTGGTTTCCAGAGCGTGGGAGAACGCTTCCAATCTCAGCTGGATTGAAGAAATCAGATGTGTTTCCAAGAGTCTTAAGGTCTGATAATTTGACAGCACTACTCACTTGCGTTCGTTTACGCAGAGTCAAGGATCTTCCAAGGTCAGTCCCATGCTCAACAAAAACGTATGCTTGGGTTGTCTTCACTGGCACCCGCATTTCCATGGCAAGCTGGCCTATCACAATGTATTATTGAAACATCTAAGTTTACGGCTTCGCTCAGCTGGGTGCAGATCTTAAACCTGTCGCAATTTCCGGTTGTGCAAAACTGAGGGCAGTCAAGAAGATGCGAAGCATATACAACACCACCCATGGAAGATGCAACAAGTGGGTTGGAACAGCCACATGCGCAGTTTCAAACGCCACAGAATAGACTCAATTTGGATGTTTTTTTACATAAAAGTGGGTTCTGAGTTTCACCCCATATCGTATAACCTGGAATAGAGCGTGGGCCGCTCAATATGAAAGCGTCGCAACTTGCTGAGTCCCCTACACATTCTGCATATCTTGCGTTGAAGGGTTGCAACTGGGTAAGGCTTCTCAACGTTTCACCTTATCTTTGGTTGCAACTGAATGTATCAAATTGCAGTAAGTTGATGCGGATTAAAGACACGGCGCTTACTAACCTAAATCCACTTGGAATTCGACAATTGTTAGATATAGGAACAATTGATCGGCTGCGCTGCAATTGCAGTCATGTCAATGATTGATTGATTGATTGATTTGCTTTATTTTGTTTTTATTGACACATGGAAGAGTAAACCCCCTTGTTCTTAGATGTCACATTGTCCAAGGCCTTGTTCTAAATTCAAGAATAGCATAAGTAACATAAACTTTAGAGAGTGGAACTTTTTCCTATCTCACAATACAATTTGTAATTATTATATCTGGTTTTGTATTACATATTTAGTCTTTAGATTATTACTATTATTATTTTTATTTTTAAATCTTATGATTTTTTACATGCTTTTTATGTTTTTTTAATGTTTTTTGTTATTATTATTATTATTATTATTATTATGACAATTAACTTTTTCATTGGCAAAAAGTTTGTTTTAAATTGGTTGTTGTATTTTTAAGTAAACACCAATATTTAATGGCAACAATGTCTTTATATTACTTAATATACACATAATGTCCTCCAAAACGACTTAAGAGAGGATAAATTATGGTCTTTTGCAAGGATATATATTATTTAGTTGGCATATGAAGTTAATATCATATTTTATGTTCTTTGAGCCATTTAATATATTTAAAAGTAAAATATCATTGTATTTTTAATAGTTTTAGAACTATATAAGACAAAATTATTGTGCATCCTACTTATCAATTTGGTTTTTCAAATATTAATTCCAACATATCCATAAAAAAATATTTAGATCAAAGTAGATTCTTATTTTGCTTTAGTTAATATATGCATTTATCTAATTATTATATGAAATACTTGATTTATTTGATTTTATGAATTTAAACTGTCTTAGTTGTTTTTTTCTAACATACTCCTAAAACATTATCAAATATAAAAAAATAGTAAAGAATTGTATTGGCCAAAGATTCCAATCAGTTTTTTCATTTCATATAGTAAATGGCTATTTTCAATGATTAGAATCTATTTATGTGGTATTGTTTAAGTTATCTCATTTCTCCACCAAAGATAAGATAACTTCTTGTAATTTCTTTTTGAATCTTTTAACTAAAATCACAATTGCATAGGCTTGTTCAACTTTTCATTTTAAAAAAAATCAATATAATAGATGATATATACATCTATACAATTGCAATAAAACAACCATATGTTTGCTAATGATTTAAGATAAGTATGATAATAAATCCAAAGACACAAGTGATGGCTTACAATTTTATTAATATTACAACCATATCAAATGCTAAGTAAGTGTGCATTTTTGCAATTAATATCAATTATTGGTGGTTCCTAAGTTTAACTTAATAACAATGTTGTTTAAATAATCTATAAGTTGAAATCTTTTAAAAAGTTTAAATTAGTAATAAAATCTCTAAAAATTATCAAAGTTATTGTCAATACAATATAATGTTGATCTAGAGGTTCACAATTTCAATATTGAGGTGTATAATTAAGAATTTAAATAACATCAAATTAAATTGATTTGAATCAATTTAAATTAAAGTGATTAATTATTTTTTGCTAAATTAATTTGATGTAAATGGATTGAATCAATTTGATTTAAATCATTACTATCTTCATTAAAAATTACATTAAATATTTGAGTTTCTATTGGAAGAAAATTCATTTATTTATTTGTAGTTATTTTTTATTCCAATGTCTATTTTCAACAAAAGAAGTTTTATGGTTTAGACTTAAAATAGTTTGGAGAATACTTATTAAAATATGATATCTAGAAATTATATTAGATTGTGTCTAGTACTACTTTATAAAGAACTTGTGTTCATTAAAACTTTGTTAGGATTAATGCTATCTGTATATGATGTAGTTGGAATTTGCCAGAGTTGTATACTAGTTTTACAAGACAAAAGAATCAAAGAGGTACATTCTTTGGAGACTTCGCAAGAACACAAACCCAGCCAAAATTCAACAACGAACCCACACTTATAAAAGAATTCAAAACGCGAAGGACTTAAACGATGAAGTGGTCAAGAATCGCCTACTTACAGGGCCCATCTTCTCACTGCCTTCGTACAACCACCACTGCTCGGCGGGAATGAAACCACCCTTGGCATCATGCACTTGCAATGCAAGTTGCGAGTGCGAACAAGGGGCACGGTGACGCGTGTCCGTAGAGACAAGAGCGTTGCGCTGGTCCCGGTGAAGGAGGACGAGAGAACTTGTCAGCAGAGATGGGGGTGCTGGTTGAGGAGACCGACATGGAGGCGAATCGCGCTGCCATGGAGGTGGGTACAGCAGCAAATGCCATGGCTGAAGCTCAGGAACTAAACCCACAAAGACCCACAAAATGCAATGCCAAGACCATGAAGCAGCAGCAGCGGCAGCTGTGGATTATGTCCTGCCCCGCGTTTTTTCACGTCTCCATTCCTTTCGGCGCAGTGTTTTAGAATGTATTTCTTTTATGCCTCTTTCTTTCTTTCCCTCTCTTTTCCGCTTCTTGTTTTGTGCGAAAAGAGATGTGACCCACATGTATACATTCATGTGTATATGCCAATTATTATTGAATTTGATATAGAGTATGAGCACAATTTAACTTGACATACATAAATTAAATAAATTTAAATCAATAAAATAAAAAATTAATAGAAATTTCAAAACATAAATCTTGATAGACTATAAATATTTTTGAATTAAAAATGAATTACATTAAAATATGTTTTATTCTAAATATGTGTGATAATTTTTAATTTAATTTATAATAATTTATTAATTAAATAAAATTTTAAAATTTAATTGACATGAATGACATAAAACACATACAAATGTATATATCATGAAAGTTCTATGTTATCTCAAAACAAAGATAAGATTAAATAACAACAACAACAATAATAATAATAATAATAATAATAATAACACTTCTATATGCAATGAGTTGAAATAGAAATTAAGATAAATTTTATCGTTATATTTAGCAAGTAAAATAACAAGTAATTTTTATTGTATCTAGCACTTATAAATTAAATTAAAAAATATTTTATAAACTATTAAAAAAATATGAAAATTTTATTATTTATCAAATACGACAAAAAATGTCACAAAAAATATGACAAACTACTATGGATTGTTAAAACACAATGAAATAGTGCTATAGTGAATTCTTGGAAAAAAAAATTATGTTTCTAGGCTTAAGCTAAGTAGCTAAATTAAAAAAGGAAGCATCAAAAATAATTTAGTAAATAAAATAGGATTGAACATAAAATGGATATGTGATTTGGTGCTAAAATATTATTTCTACAATTTCGAAGATGACTTAAGTAAAGATAAAAATAGATATTTTTATTATGTTAATACAAATTTTAAATTATACTTTAAGTTTTAAAACAGAAAATTCTTTTATAAAAACTTAATTAGCAGCTTCTGATTAATAATTATTAAAAATAATTTTATATTTTTATAATTTACTATCAATTTTTAATTGATTAATTTATTCTAAAATATAAATACACCAAAAATTTAATAATAAAATCTTAATTATATTTTTCTTTTTTTATTTTATATTTCTAATTAATAAATTAATAATAAAATTTCATTTTAAAAATACAGGTGTTTATTAGTAAGATTCTTACTTTCAAAAATATATACCACTTGTTTCAGATAATACCATATGTATGTAATAAACCTTCAATCATAATTGCATTTAATTTTTATAATATTTTAAAAGAGTTAATTATTCAAGTATATTAAATTAAATAAAAAGATAAGTATAAAATTTCAATTATTAATTAAATATCTCTTTAAAAATACTATCATATTAAAAAAAATTATACTATATTAAATTATACTATATTAAATTATAACATAAAAAATTATTTATTAGAATATTATTAAATTAGAATATTATTTAACACCATGAGGTAGTCAAAAAAAATTAAAATTTCAAATTTTAAAAAATGTCACAAAAACTAAAATTACAATAAAATCTTGTAACCTCTTTAAAACTCCTTATACACTACTAATGAGGCTTGGTGAGGTTATAATCCTCGATTACTTAAGCAAGTTGACCTTCAAGTAATATCCATTTATTTAATTTTTATGTTTTTTTATTTTTTATCTTTAAATCTTTAAATCTTCATTATTTATTCTAAATAACTTGGAATTACATTTTTTTATAACTTTATACCAAAAGAAAATCTATTAAACAAATTTTGATGACTTTTTGAGTGTATATTTATTTAATTGTTTATCTTTTACTTGTTTTTTTCTTTCTTCTTTTCTTATTTTTTATTAATTGTGCTTCTCATTTTACACCAACAATTACAAGAAATTTTAAATTGACTCTATCTTATAATTTTGGTTAAGAGGTGTTTTTTAATCTTATAATAAAGACACATTATAATACAATTTCAAAAAGTGAGTTAAGGTGAAGTGATTTACATACTATTTTTAAGATATTAAATACTATATAAAGTTTATGAACTAAAAAAAGATAGATTAGAATAGCTAATAGAATTTTTTTAAAGAAGAAATGTTGAAAAAAAAATAATAATGTGACAAATGCAACCTTATATGTATATAGAGTGGATGTGAAAAAATTAAAGATGTTGCAAAATAAATTGAATAAGAAATTTTGTGCATTAAATTTATGATTTTGAATATGGTTTTGCAACTATCTTGTAACTTAATATTTGATTATTTGCAAGTAATTATATATCTAGATGTATTAATTTTACTTATTTTCACAAAGTATTTCAATTGTGACTAAAAATCTTGTATTTGCCCAAAATGAATCTTCTTTAAAACAAAGCTTCTATATTAGTCTCATAGTAGTAATAAACTTCTGTAAGAAGCTTTTAAAACCACATATTATATATAGAAGCATCTACATATTTAATTTGCAATAAAAAAAACTTTTTAGATGGTTTTTAAAGAAAATATTATCTATATGACATATATTTTCTTATTTCTATATAATTCTATTCATATGAGTAAAAATAAATTGCCTATAAACATCTTAAATATAGACATTTTAATATGTCTATTTTTTTAAAAGGCATAAGATTGTTCCATCTATCTAGAAAAATGGTCTAATTTAAGTACTTAAAGATATTAAATAACTAAAAGATAGAAGATTATCAAATCTATTTTAAAAAGAAGTCAAGTTTCTACATTCACATACATAAAGTGTGGCCAAAGAGGTAACTCTATTTAATTTAATCATACTATTTAAGATATTGAATACTATATCTTATTAATTATATTACTTCTTTATGAAAAACATATATTTTTCTTTTGT